CAGGAATAGAACTGAATATATACTGAGGGCTGAGTGTTGGGAAGTTAGTTGCTCTGCAGACCAGCTCGGCTCTATTGCTTGTGTAATAAAGTCTATCTTGATTCTACAAAAACTGGAAGTACTTAGATGTTTTAAAGAAGTATAAGGATAATTTTCTACAACACAAGTTGCCCATCCCTGCTCTAGATGGTGTTTGAACTTGAGTGCAGCAGCCTTTGTTACTAATGCTGCTCTTTCAGCCTCTGCTTGAATTCAGGCTGAGGATGTGGAGGATAAACCTGAGCGTAAACTCCTGTTTGACTTTTGGCTGGACGTTTGGGACACACTGTCAGTAGGTTCATCCTTCTCATCAGTGTATTCATCAGGTTTCTCTGGTGCTGGGGATGCACCTGAAATCCATTTGGACACAGTACAAAGAAATGTCTTAATATGTTGCAGTTTGGGAAACTTTCTCCTCCAAGGCCTTTCCTGCTAAGGCCCCTCCAATAGCTCCATGTCGCCCCCATTGACAATGCTATCTGCAGTGCAGAGGAGGCTGGTGGGAGGAGCTATAGGAGGACTAGCTCATTGTAATGGCTGGAATGGAATTAATGGAACAGAGTCAAACGTGGTTTCCATATGTTTGATACCGTTCCATTTATTTCATTCCAGCCATTACAATGAGCCAGTCCTCCTATAGCTCCTCCCACCAGCCTCCACTGCAGTAAAATTTACTTCAGCCATATTCCATAGGCTATCACCATAATATCTACATTTCCCAATCCTTCCCATTTCAATATGCAAGAATGAACATGCATCAATAAGCGTTCTGATGCACAGCGCTGTGCTCCTTTAACAGTCTCGTTATATTGTTAATCTTCACACTTCAATTAATTAGGCAGCGGAGATTGGAAATAGAGTTCTGTGCATTCAATCCTTTGTCCAAATAAGTCACTCCAATAGCAAACTTTCCATTGCTTTGAATGCATGATAAATGTAGCCATCAACACTCTGACTAATTTATTAATCAATCCAACAGTTTGTGCGCTTGTTACTTTACATATCTAAGTGCGTATGTTCTCCGCTGTAGTCTTAGGAGGCCGCGTCAGTCCTTTGTTCCTTTGTTGCGCGTCTTTACAAACAATCCAGTTTTCCAATTCCATCGAAGTATTTTCCAGCGAAGTTGTTTGACTAAATGTAGTGACTAAATTGTCTAATATAATTGTCCCAATACAATTTCCATCTTTAATGCTTCAGCCACAATGGAGAGTGGTGAAATGTTAGTCTTGACACCTACAAATCCAATGTCCAGAGTTTGATTCACGTAGAAAAATAATCAATTTATGTCATTGTTCTGGTTACAAAAATGTAAATAAAAATCTAACAAAAATTCCTTACATTCAAACTAAAGAAACCCTTCTCTCCATGGTGTTTTCAGCAGTTAGCGTCACCAATGGCTTGACCATGTTATCTACAATTCCGACGCTGTGTTTTAACGTTTAGAAATGTAAATAATAATCGCTTGTGAAACGGTTTTGGCCCTTATCTTTCATATCAGCGAGAAATAATCTTTCAAATAAAAATTATACACTTACTGTAGCAGATTTGCACAGATCCATACGCTGTGTGTGCCTCCAGTTGACGAACTACACTTCCTCCCCAGTTATGCTTACACAAAGGTGTTCGAGCACGCTATATAGCTAATTAGCACAGGTGGTCACCTTTGTCTTCCATCTGTCCGGTATATTGCCACAGTAGATTTGCCGTGGTAAGCAAGGATATACTTTATTTCAGTTGTACGTAATGATAGTCAAATAGATACTTCGCCCTTAGTCAGATAAAATTAGAATGGTTACAATTTTTCGGTTGAATACATTCAGTTGTGCAACTGACTAGGTATCCCCTTTCCCTTCTGTGCTTACATTTGTTGGTTGCTCTTAATAACGGCTTTTTTTATGGCAACCTTCCCAAGATGCGACCAAGTTCTGTAATTCTCCAACTTGGACCCTTGGACTTTTCTTTACCTCCTGAACCATCTTCCTTACTGTGCGTGGGGAAAATACACTTGGGTCCTCTACCAGGCAAGTTAACCACTGTTCCAGTGGTTTTAAACTTCTTAATTTTTGCCCTTATAGTGGTAAGTATTATATTTCGTTTTTCAGTAGTGTCTTGTACCCATTGCCTAATTTATGAAAGTCAACAGCCATGTCTCTTTTCATTTGTGAGTTCTTTGCCATGGTGATGAATGACACATTTATTTTACATGAGTGTTACCTAATTTTTATAGCCCAGTGAAACAGAAAGGCATGAAAAGGCCACAATATATTTTGTTGAATTACAAACTGTAATTTAAATGGATTTTTATTTGGATTTCCTGTAATGGACATTCACAAAATAGTCCAAATTGGTGAAGTGAAATGAAAAAAAATCACTTGTTTCAAAAAATTCAAAACAATTAATAACGGAAAAGTGGTGCGTGCATACAGTGGGGGAAAAAAGTATTTAGTCAGCCACCAATTGTGCAAGTTCTCCCACTTAAAAAGATGAGAGAGGCCTGTAATTTCCATCATAGGTACACGTCAACTATGACAGACAAAATGAGAAAAAAATATCCAGAAAATCACATTGTAGGATTTTTAATGAATTTATTTGCAAATTATGGTGGAAAATAAGTATTTGGTCAATAACAAAAGTTTCTCAATACTTTGTTATATACCCTTTGTTGGCAATGACACAGGTCATTGGTTTCATCTGACCATATGACATTCTCCCAATCCTCTTCTGGATCATCCAAATGCACTCTAGCAAACTTCAGACGGGCCTGGACATGTACTGGCTTAAGCAGGGGGACACGTCTGGCACTGCAGGATTTGAGTCCCTGGCGGCATAGTGTGTTACTGATGGTAGGCTTTGTTACTTTGGTCCCAGCTCTCTGCAGGTCATTCACTAGGTCCCCCCCCCCGTGTGGTTCTGGGATTTTTGCTCACCGTTCTTGTGATCATTTTGACCCCACGGGGTGAGATCTTGCGTGGAGCCCCAGATCGAGGGAGATTATCAGTGGTCTTGTATGTCTTCCATTTCCTAATAATTGCTCCCACAGTTGATTTCTTCAAACCAAGCTGCTTACCTATTGCAGATTCAGTCTTCCCAGCCTGGTGCAGGTCTACAATTTTGTTTCTGGTGTCCTTTGACAGCTCTTTGGTCTTGGCCATAGTGGAGTTTAGAGTGTGACTGTTTGAGGTTGTGGACAGGTGTCTTTTATACTGATAACAAGTTCAAACAGGTGCCATTAATACAGGTAACGAGTGGAGGACAGAGGAGCCTCTTAAAGAAGAAGTTACAGGTCTGTGAGAGCCAGAAATCTTGCTTGTTTGTAGGTGACCAAATACTTTTTTCCACCATAATTTGCAAATAAATGTATTAAAAATCCTACAACGTGATTTTCTGGATTTTTTCTCTCATTTTGTCTGTCATAGTTGACGTGTACCTATGATGAAAATTACAGGCCTCTCTCATCTTTTTAAGTGGGAGAACTTGCACAATTGGTGGCTGACTAAATACTTTTTTTCCCCACTGTATGTATTCACCCCCTTTGCTATGAAGCCCCTAAATAAGATCTGGTGCAACCAATTACCTTCAGAAGTCACATAATTAGTTAAATAAAGTCCACCTGTGTGCAATCTAAGTGTCACATAATCTCAGTATATATACACCTGTTCTGAAAGGCCACAGAGTCTGCAACACCACTAAGCAAGGGGCACCACCAAGCAAGCGGCACCATGAAGACCAAGGAGCTCTCCAAACAGGTCAGGGACAAAGTTGTGGAGAAGTACAGATCAGGGTTGGGTTATAAAAAAATATCTGAAACTTTGAACATCCCACGGAGCACCATTAAATTCATTTTTTTTTTTATGGAAAGAATATGGCACCACATCAAACCTGCCAAGAGAGGGCCGCCCACCAAAACTCACAGACCAGGCAAGGAGGGCATTAATCAGAGAGGCAACAAAGAGACCAAAGATAACCCTGAAGGAGCTGAAAAGCGCCACAGCAGAGATGGGAGTATCTGTCCATAGGACCACTTTAAGCCGTACACTCCACAGAGCTGGGCTATACGGAAGAGTGGCCAGAAAAAAGCCATTGCTTAAAGAAAAAAATAAGCAAACACGTTTGGTGTTCGCCAAAAGGCATGTGGGAGACTCCCCAAACATATGGAAGAAGGTACTCTGATCAGATGAGACTAAAATTGAGCTTTTTGGCCATCAAGGAAAACTCTATGTCTGGTGCAAACCCAACACCTCTCATCACCCCGAGAACACCATCCCCACAGTGAAGCATGGTGGTGGCAGCATCATGCTGTGGGGATGTTTTTCCATCGGCAGGGACTGGGAAACTGGTCAGAATTGAAGGAATGATGGATGGCACTAAATACAGGGAAATTCTTGAGGGAAACCTGTTTCAGTCTTCCAGAGATTTGAGACTGGGACGGAGGTTCCCCTTCCAGCAATGACCCTAAGCATACTGCTAAAGCAACACTCGAGTGGTTTAAGGGGAAACATTTAAATGTCTTGGAATGGCTCGAATCCCCGAGCCGACTAGGTGAAAAATCTGCTGAGGTGCCCTTGAGCAACCCTAATTGCTCCTGTAAGTTGCTCTGGATAAGAGCGTCTGCTAAATGACTAAAATATAATGTAAATGTAAATACATTTTGTATAATTTTATTCATAAGAATCTTTAGGGGTGCCAATAATTTTGACACCTATCTTTTTTAGATAATGTTTTACTTGTTAAACAAAATCAATTTTTCTGATAAATTGTATTAGTATAAAATAATATACTTTTCAAATATTTTGACCATCCAATATATCTTGGTATTTATATTATTTATTATGCTCATCTTTATCACTGGTACCAATACATTTAGAGGTGACTGTATAGGTTCTTGCCTGTACATTTTTTGTATTTGTCTGTGTGTATTTGAGTGTGTGTTTGCGTGTTTGTTTACATGTGATGCGTCCTACCTGTCGAAACTCCTCACAGACCATGGTGAAGACCCAGAAGTAGAGGACAAACTCTAAGGTGGACGGGCCGTGTGGGGGCGGTGGCTTGAAGTCCAACAATAGGATATAAGCAAACAGGCCGAGGAACAGGAAGTACATCAGCACGTTGCCTAGGAACGAGGTGACAGGCGCAAACCAGAACTCCCTCCAGCGCAGCAGTACGAAGGGCCTCTTGGGATTGGAGGAGGGGGCACTTTTCAGATTGGCCCTTAGAGCAGCATATTCCTCGACATCCTCTTCCCTGAGAGGACAAAATGGGAATAATTACTTAGTGTGTGTGCATGGATGACTACGTGCATGCGTGTGTGTTTACGTTTGCATGACGTCGGAGAGGGAGAACATAGTGGCATCTCCTCCGTCCAGACTCTCTGTGTCTCGACCATGAGGCACCTCCTCTGACTTCCCCTCTTCCTCATGTTCCCTGAGAGAGAGAGAGAGACAGATTGAGAAATAAATTACAGACCGACAGACAGTTTCACCACCAGCTTCCAATTTCTCAAATTCACCCCGTATGAGGAAAATAAGGAACGCTCCACGTATAAAAAAATGTGGATGATAGAGAGAAGATAGCCTGCGAAGGGGAAGAAAATAGGAAAATAAGTCAGCATTGCGAATTTAAAATTTGAACGATATTGGAAGATAGGCTGGTGGTGAAGGAAAGGTTTATTTATTTTTTTACCTTAATTTTACCAGGGTAGACAGAGACAAGGTCTCTTTTTCAAATGTGCCCTGCACAATACAACACAAATATACACAAAATATTCATATGTGACCCGTTTCAGGACGCTTGGCATATGTCACACATTACTACTTCACAGGAGAGGCATTTGAACGTATTTTTTGTTGTTGTTGATGATCAAAATGCCTTCTGGAACGTGAACTTTCATGTGCCTTACTAACAAACTTGTATGCCATCTGTAAATACAAATAAAATTGTTAAATTACGAGCCTAATTGGTTTAGCCACGGAAAAAGACAGGAACCTTCCCGCTAGCCATGATTGGCTGAGATAATGGATGGGCTGGACATGCCGAGAGATGAGTTCGGATTGGTCTGACATGTAACATGCTTCAGACTTTAACATGAGCTGCTCAGTATGTGTAGATAATCCTAGCTACCACTGCTTTTTTAAAGCTATAACGTTAGCCATAGAGAACGGCAAGAGTGTTGCTACTGCTCTCAACAACATTGCTGCCCTGAATTTAGTATTGACAAAGATAAGTGGGAAAAAGTTGTGATGGACTACTTTCTGCACACGGTCAGTGTAAACCGGAGTGACTTGACACAACACGGCCCAAACAAGCTGTACAAACAAAACGGAAATTACACAAGGGGTTCCACTCTGCAGTGAAGCGTTCATCCATGTACAGTATACGGGTAAGAGTCTAGCTACATTTTCAGATATTATACGTTTCTAATTTTGTCGAAGTCGTTTTCATTGCAAGTTAAAGCATACTGTTAGCTAGCTAGCAAACGTTAGCTTGCTGTCTCGCTAGCTAACGTTACGTGCATGATCTGTGTAGTAATATTATTAGTATCTCAGAAATCCATTTGCATTGCTAGTTATAGCCTAACATTGAACCTAGTTGGTTAGCTTTAGCTACCTGCAGATTCATAGTACAGCATTTAATGCATGGTGGCTAGCTATGACAATCTGTTTGTATTGCTAGTAGCATGGGTTGGGATTGTGGTTCATTGTTTAGCTAGCTACATGTCTAAACAAAATACACTACTTTGCCAGATGATTACATGACCCATCAAGTTAGCCAGGTGTGTCTGGGGGTGACTACGGCCATCTATTGTATTTCATGAACATGTGTACATGTCTAGACAATAACGTGTACATGTCTAGATCTAGACAATAGTGACCCATCCACTTAGTTAGATGTGGCTGAGGTTGGTTATAACTTAGACAAGTGTGTCTGGGTAAGCATCATCTAATGATAAAATATTTTTATCTGGACACTTTCAAAAAAATGTATTGCTACTATGCAAATACGCAAGTAACCATTTCACTTTACCATTTACACCTTCTGTATCCTGTGCATGTGACAAATAAACTTAGATTATATTTTATATATATACACTATAGTAATTACTGTAGTGTTTTTGCGGACTGTATTATACTGTAGTGTTTTAGTTGTATTATCTTTGTTTTTGCAGACTGTGCTTTTGTTGTTGCGGACATTACTGTAGTATTTACTATAGTAGTCTACATTATACTACAAAAATCTATAGTAAGTACTACACATGATCAAGGGATACTACAGTGTGTAGTACTGTATATAGAATTCTATAGTAAACTGTAGTATTTTTTCATGTGGGCAGCCAATCTCCTCTGTATCTTAATGCTTATTATGTATAATATGTAACTTTGTGGGCGACCTGACCAAATTCACATAGAAATGTGAGTAATAGATCTGTCATTCTCATTGAAAGCAAGTCTAAGAAGCGGTAGATCTGATTTTATGTGCGCTATTTCTATGCTTCCCGTTCTTAAGTTTTGTTTTTGCGTATTTCACTTTTGGTTTTTTACACCAGCTTCAAACAGCTGAAATACAATATTTATGGTTAATTAAAATATATTTCACAGCAGTTTAGATGGTACAATGATTCTCTACACTATACATTGCTTGTTTTGTCACATAAACTGAAATTAGGCTAAGTATTAGAATTTTTGCAACCAGGAAATGGCGGAGCGATTTCTGCATATTGCACCTTTAATGGATTGGAAATTCTCAGACAGACAGACACTAACCTGAAGCTGATGAGGTTGGTGTAGATGAGGGGGGGTAAGAAGAAGGTGAGGACCAATTTCCAGACCTTCGTGCTCCTCTTCATATCTCCCCACCAGATCTGAGACAGCAGAGACTGCCAGAGGAAGAGGTAGGAGCAGAGTTGATCCTGAGAAACTTCAATTAACCACCCTCCATGATCTAACACAAACACTCTGGAAATCTAAGGAGCTGGTTAGTTTTATAAAGATTAATGTGAACACAGATCACACGCACACACAGATTATTAAATTTTTTATCTTCATCTTTAACTCTGCATTGTTGGAAAAGGACCCGTAAGTAAGCATTTCACTGTTGTTAACGAAGCATGTGACAAATTTGATTTGAATCTCACACCCACATAAGCAAGCACACAAAGCATGCATGCACACACAAACACACACACCATGACCTCTGACCCCTGAGTTTAGTACAGACCTGCACACCATCGTGGCTGAAGAAGTGGCGGGCGTCGGCTGAGGTGGCCATCTGCAGACAAGTAGCTTTGCCCCACACTGGAGACTGCCTTATAAGGAGGGTGAAAGAGCGGCTCTCACTGCTCTGGTAGCACTCACTGAACACGTCTAGAGAGATGATTAAAGGGTTAACACTCACTGAAGACGTCTATAGAGAGGACACAGGTCACATTAGGTTTCCCATTAGGAGTGCGGATTGATTTGCTTCAGTCCTCATCTTAAAGACATTGAGTGTGAAAGCATTGCAAATGGTCCCAGACTGGGATAACGTCCAGCAGACTTTCAGAACAGGTGGTCCCTTGCGGTCTGATGCGGACCCGCTACTAGGCATTATGGGGTAACCTTCACTCTCAAAATATAAGCTGCTCACATGTACAGTGGGGAAAAAAAGTATTTAGTCAGCCACCAATTGTGCAAGTTCTCCCACTTAAAAAGATGAGAGAGGCATGTAATTTTCATCATAGGTACACGTCAACTATGACAGACAAAATGAGGAAAATAAATCCAGAAAATCACATTGTAGGATTTTTAATGAATTTATTTGCAAATTATGGTGGAAAATAAGTATTTGGTCAATAACAAAAGTTTCTCAATACTTTGTTATATACCCTTTGTTGGCAATGACACAGGTCAAACGTTTTCTGTAAGTCTTCACAAGGTTTTCACACACTGTTGCTGGTATTTTGGCCCATTCCTCCATGCAGATCTCCTCTAGAGCAGTGATGTTTTGGGGCTGTCGCTGGGCAACACGGACTTTCAACTCCCTCCAAAGATTTTCTATGGGGTTGAGATCTGGAGACTCCAGGACCTTGAAATGCTTCTTACGAAGCCACTCCTTCGTTGCCCGGGCGGTGTGTTTGGGATCATTGTCATGCTGAAAGACCCAGCCACGTTTCATCTTCAATGCCCTTGCTGATGGAAGGAGGTTTTCACTCAAAATCTCACGATACATGGCCCCATTCATTCTTTCCTTTACACGGATCAGTCGTCCTGGTCCCTTTGCAGAAAAACAGCCCCAAAGTATGATGTTTTCACTCCCATGCTTCACAGTAGGTATGGTGTTCTTTGGATGCAACTCAGCATTCTTTGTCCTCCAAACACGACGAGTTGAGTTTTTACCAAAAAGTTATATTTTGGTTTCATCTGACCATATGACATTCTCCCAATCCTCTTCTGGATGCACTCTAGCAAACTTCAGACGGGCCTGGACATGTACTGGCTTAAGCAGGGGGACACGTCTAGCACTGCAGGATTTGAGTCCCTGGCAGCGTAGTGTGTTACTGATGGTAGGCTTTGTTACTTTGGTCCCAGCTCTCTGCAGGTCATTCACTAGGTCCCCCCGTGTGGTTCTGGGATTTTTGCTCACCGTTCTTGTGATCATTTTGACCCCACGGGGTGAGATCTTGCGTGGAGCCCCAGATCGAGGGAGATTATCAGTGGTCTTGTATGTCTTCCATTTCCTAATAATTGCTCCCACAGTTGATTTCTTCAAACCAAGCTGCTTACCTATTGCAGATTCAGTCTTCCCAGCCTGGTGCAGGTCTACAATTTTGTTTCTGGTGTCCTTTGACAGCTCTTTGGTCTTGGCTATAGTGGAGTTTGGAGTGTGACTGTTTGAGGTTGTGGACAGGTGTCTTTTATACTGATAACAAGTTCAAACAGGTGCCATTAATACAGGTAACGAGTGGAGGACAGAGGAGCCTCTTAAAGAAGAAGTTACAGGTCTGTGAGAGCCAGAAATATTGCTTGTTTGTAGGTGACCAAATACTTATTTTCCACCATAATTTGCAAATAAATTCATTAAAAATCCTACAATGTGATTTTCTGGATTTTCTTTTCTCAGTTTGTCTGTCATAGTTGACGTGTACCTATGATGAAAATTACAGGCCTCTCTCATCTTTTTAAGTGGGAGAACTTGCACAATTGGTGGCTGACTAAATACTTTTTTTCCCCACTGTATGCATAACAGAGTTAATAACCACTAAATTGACATCCTCACAGTACAAATACACAGCCAGAATAAGGCTAACCCACCAAGGGCCAAGTTCTCAAACTTCTGGGCCAGCTCCTTCATAGAGAGTTTGGTCTCCGTCTCACTCTCCAGCTTAGACAGCTCCCTCAGAATCTTACAGCCTGCCAGAGCACTGTGGACAGACTCCCCTCCCTGGAGGAGAGAGGGAGAGGGGGGAGAGAGAGGAAGAGAGAGCGAGGGGGAGAGAGAGAGAAAGAGAGAAGGGGATATAAAAAGGGGAGAGATCAATGCTAAAATGCGTCTGTGCATTCGTAAATTAATGCATTTTTCTACAGATTAGTTTAACTTCAAGCATTTACATTTACATTTTAGTCATTTAGCAGACACTCTGATCCAGAGCGACGTACAGTTAGTGCATTCATCTTAAGATAGATAGGTGGGACAAAGTGTATTTAAGATACACTTTGAAGAGGTTGTTTTCGGAAGATGGACAGGGTTCCACCATTGGGGTGCCAGGACAGAGAAGAGCTTGGACTGGGCTGAGCGGGAGCTACCCTCCCGTAAGGATGGGAGGGCCAAGTGACCAGAGGTGGCAGAACGGAGTGCTCGGGTTGGGGTGTTGGGCATAGCCTGAAGGTAGGGAAGGGCAGTTCCACTTGCTGCTCTATAGGCAAGTACCATGGTGATGTAGTGGATGTGGGCTTCAACTGGAAGCCAGTGGAGTGTGCGGAGGAGCAGGGTGAAATGGGAGAACTTGGAAAGGTTGAACACCAGGCGAGCTGCAACGTTCTGGATAAATTGCAGGGGTTTGATGGCACAAGCGGGGAGCCCAGCCAACAGCGAGTTGCAGTAGTCCAGATGGGAGATGACAAGCACCTGGATTAGGACCTGCGCCGCTTCCTGTGTGAGGTAGGGTCGTACTCTACGGATGTTGTAGAGCATTAACTTGCAGGAGCGAGTCACTGCTTTGATGTTTGTAGAGAACGACAGGGTGTTGTCCAGGGTCACGTCAAGGTTCTTTGCACTCTGGGATGGGGACACCGTTGAGTTGTCAACTGTGATGGAGAGGTCTTGGAGCAGGCAGGCCTTCCCCGGGAGGAAAAGCAGCTCCGTCTTGTCGAGGTTGAGCTTGAGGTGGTGGGCCAACATCCAAGCTGAGATATCTGCCAGTCATGCAGAGATGCGTGTCGCCACCTAGGTGTCAGAAGGGGGGAAGGAGAAAAGTAGATGAGTGCCAGCCGCATAGCAATGATAGGAGAGACCATGTGAAGATATGACAGAGCCGAGTGACTTGGTGTATAGAGAGAAGAGGAGTGGGCCTAGAACCGAGCCCTGGGGGACACCAGTAGTGAGAGTACGTGGTGTAGACACAGATCCTCTCCACATCACCTGCCAGGTAGGATGCAATCCAAGAGTGTGCAGAGACGCCCAGCCCTGAGAGGGTGGAGAGGAGGATGGTTCATGGTGTTGAAGGCAGTGGCTAGATCTAGGAGGATGAGAACAGAGGAGAGAGAGTCAGCTTTCGCAGTGCGGAGAGCCTCCGTGACACAGAGAAGAGCAGTCTTGGTTGAGTGACCCGTCTTGAAGCCTAACTGGTTAGGATCGTTCTGAGAGAGATAGCGAGAGACTTGATCAGAGACAGTACGCTCAAGTGTTTTGGAAATAAAATAATGAACAGAGACCGGTCTGTAGTTTTTGACGCCAGAGGAGTCGAGGTGTTGGTTTCTTGAGGAGGGGAGCGACTCGGGCCATTTGGAAGTCAGAGGGGACACAGCCAGTGGTCAGGGATGAGTTGATGAGGGAGGTGAGGAATGGGAGAAGGTCTCCAGAGATGGTCTGGAGAATGGAGGAAGTGATGGGGTCGAGCGGGCAGGTTGTCGGGTGGCCTGACACCACTAGTCGCAGGATTTCATCTGGAGAGAGAGGGGAGAAAGAGCTCAAGGCATAGGGTAGTTCTGTGTGAGTGGGACCAGTGGATTCAATAGGCTGATTGAATGAGGAGCAGATGTCTTCAACCTTCTTTTCAAAGTGGTTGACAAAGTCGTCTGCAGAGAGGGAGGAGGGAGGAAAAGGTGGAAAATAGTTTCCTTGGGTTAAAGGCTGAAGCTTGAAGTTTAGAGTGATAGAAAGTGGCTTTAGCAGTGGATACAGAGGAAGATAAGGTAGATAGGAGGGAGTAAAAGGATGATAGGTCCTCCGGAGGTTTAGTTTGGATCCATTTTTGCTCAGCTGCCCACAGCCCTGTTCTATAGGCTCTCAATGAGGCACTAAGCCACGGCGCAGGAGGGAGGAAAGGGGACAGTGCGAGTCATAGGATGCGTAAAGGGAGGAGAGTAGGGTTGAAGAGGCAGAATCAGGAGACAGGAGGGAAAAGGGATTTAGCAGAAGGGAGAGATGACAGGATAAAGGAGGATAGAGTAGTGGGAGATAGAGAGCAAAGGTTGCGATGGCACATGGGCATCTGGGTAGGGGTTGAGTGGCTAGGGTTGGAGGAAAGGGAGACAGAAAAGGAAACAAAGTAGTGATCAGATACCTGGAGGGGGTTGCAGTGAGATTAGTAAGCGAACAGCCACTAGTAAAGATGAGGTCAAGCGTATTGCCTGCCTTGTGCGTGGGAGTGGAAAAGGGTGAGGTCAAAAGAGGCAAGGAGGGGAAAGAGAGAGTTGGAAAGAAATGAATCGAAGGCAGACGTCGGGAGGTTGAAGTACGAAGAGCGGTGAGCCATCGTCAGGAAATGAGCTTATCAAGGTGTCAAGCTCATTTAGGGACTCTCTAAGGGCACCTGGTGGGCGATAGATGACAACAATGTTAAGCTTGAGTGGACAAGTGACAGTATGGAATTTAAATGAGGAGATGGACAGGTGAGAGAGAGAGAAAAGAGAAAGTCTCAATTTAGGAGAAATTAATAGCCCTGTGCCACTACCACGATGACCAGATGCTCTCGGACTATGAGAGAAAACAGCTGGAGTAGCAGTGTTCTCTGGGGTGATCCATGTAAGGTCCAAAAAGTCAAGGGACTGAAAGGCAGCATAGACTGAGATTAACTCTGCGTTCTTGACCGCAGATCAGCAGTTCCAAATGCTGCCAGAGACAAGGAATTCCACATGGGTTGTGCGCACGGGGTACACTAAATTAGAAGGGTTGCAGCTAAGGGGTGGGGAGTGAACTGGGATAGAAAACACACATAAAGCTACCAAAGAGCAAAATGTGATAATCTGAAAATAACTAGGTAAGATATTCAAGTGAGAGAGTGGCGTCGAGCCTTCCTCTCTTTCCTTCCTCGAATAATTCCGCAGAACAACTCGGCAAAACCGTCTTTGTTTCGGTGATGGTCTTAGTTTTGCGACGCTGAGAAGAACAAGGGAGACTGAAGTACTAATACTATTTTCTTATTGCCTTGCAAAGGTGAAGAGCACACCTCCCGGTAATAATTGCTGATTGCATAGGAGAGGAGAAACCAATACAGCCACTGACTACGAAAACAACAGTCGCAAATTGCCCTGACCCTTAATCCTGGTTGATGTGATCACGCGGACTGGGATATGTTCCGGGTAACCTCTGAGAATAACATTGATGTATACACGGACACGGTGACTGAGTTCATCAGGAAGTGTATAGGCGATGTTGTTCCCACTGTGACTATTAAAACCTACCCAAACCAGAAACCGTTGATAGAAGGCAGCATTCGCGCAAAACTGAAAGCGCGAACCACCGCATTTAACGATGGCAAGGTGACTGGGAATATGGTTGAATACAAACAGTGTAGTTATTCCCTCCGTAAGGCAATCAAACAGGCAAAACGTCAGTACAGAGACAAAGTGGAGTCACAATTCAACGGCTCAGACACGAGACGTATGTGGCAGGGTCTACAGACAATCACGGCTTACAAAGGGAAAACCATCTATGTCGCGGACACCGACGTCTTGCTCCCGGACAAGCTAAACACCTTCTTTGCCTGCTTTGAGGATAACACAGTGCCACCGACGCAACCTGCTCCCAAGGACTGTGGGCTCTCGTTCTCTATGGCCGACGTGAGTAAGACATTTAAGCGTGTTAACCCTCGCAAGGCTGCCGGCCCAGACGGCATCCCAAGCTGTGTCCTCAAAGCATGCGCAGACCAGCTGGCTGGTGTTTACAGACATATTCAATCTCTCCCTATCCCAGTCGGCTGTCCCCATTTGCTTCAAGATGTCTACCATTGTTCCTGTACCCAAGAAAGCAAAGGTAACTGAACTCAATGACTATCGGCCTTTAGCACTCACTTCTGTCATCATGAAGTGCTTTGAGAGGCTAGTTAAGGATCATATCACCTCTACCTTACCTGACACCCTAGACCCACTTCAATTTGCATACCGCCCCAATAGATCCACAGACGATACAATCGCCATCGCACTGCACACTTCCCTATCCCATTTGGACATGAGGAATACCTATGTAAGAATGCTGTTCATTGACTATAGCTCAGCCTTCAACACCATAGTACCCTCCAAGCTCATCGTTAAGCTCGGGGTCCTGGGTCTGAACCCCGCCCTGTGCAACTGGGTCCTGGACTTCCTGACGGGCCACCCCGAGGTGGTGAAGGTAGGAAACAACACCTCCACTTCGCTAATCCTCAACACAGGGGCCCCACAAGGGTGCGCGCTCAGCCCCTTCCTGTACTCCCTGTTCACCCATGACTGCGTGGCAACGCAGGCCTCCAACTCAATCATCATGTTTGCAGACGACACAACAGTAGTACGCTTGATTACCAACAATGACGAGACAGCCTACAGGGAGGAGGTGAGATGGCGGAGTGGAGCCAGGAAAACAACCTCTCCCTCAGGGTCAACAAAACAAAGGAGCTGATCGTGGACTTCAGAATCCACATCAACAGGACCGCAGTGGAGAAGGTGGAAAGCTTCAAGTTCCTCGGCGTAAACATCACTGACAATCTGAAATGGTCCACCCACACAGACAGTGTGGTGAAGAAGGCGCAACAGCACCTCCTCAACCTCAGGAGGCTGAAGAAATTTGACTTGGCACTAAGACCCCATTTGCAGAGGCACAATTGAGAGCATCCTGTCGGGCTGTATCACCGCCTGGTACGGCAACTGCACCACCCACAACCACAGGGCTCTCCAGAGGGTGGTGCGGTATGCCCAACGCATCACCGGGAGCACACTGCCTGCCCTCCAGGACACCTACAACACCCGATGACACAGGAAGACCAAAAAGATCATCAAGGACATGAACCACCCGAGCGACGACCTGTTCACCCCGCTACCATCCAGAAGGCGTACAGGTGCATAAAAGCTGGGACCGAGAGACTGAAAAACAGCTTCTATCTCAAGGCCATCAGACTGTTAAATAGCCATCACTAGCCGGAATTACTGGTCACTTTAATAATGGAACACTAGTCACTTTAATAATGTTTACATAATGCTTTACTCATTTCATATGTACAGTCGTGGTCAAATGTTTTGAGAATGACACAAATACTAATTTTCACAAAGTCTTCTGCCTCAGTTTTGATAATGGCAATTTGCATATACTACAGAATGTCATGAAGAGTGATCAGATGAATTGCAATTAATTGTAAAGTCCCTCTGTGCCATGAAAATTAACTTAATCCCAAAAAAACATTTCCACTGCATTTCAGCCCTGCCACAAAAGGACCAGCTGACATCATGTCAGTGATTCTATCGTTAACACAGGTGAGAGTGTTGACGAGAACAAGGCTGGAGATCACTCTGTCATGCTGATTGAGTTAGAATAACAGACTGGAAGCTTTAAAAGGAGGGTGGTGCTTGAAATGTTAACTATGGTTACCTGCAAGGAAACACGTGCCGTCATCATTGCTTTGCACAAAAAGGGCTTCACAGGCAAGGATATTGCTGCTAGTAAGATTGCACCTAAATCAACCATTTATCAGATCATCAAGAACTTCAAGGAGAGAGGTTCAATTGTTGTGAAGAAGGCGTCAGGGCGCCCAAGAAAGTCCAGCAAGCGCCAGGACCGTCTCCTAAAGTTGATTCAGCTGCGGGATCGGGGCATCACAAGTGCAGAGCTTGCTCAGGAATGGCAGCAGGCAAGTGTGAGTGCATCTGCACGTACAGTGAGGCGAAGACTTTTGGAGGATGTCCTGGTGTCAAGAAGGGCAGCAAAGAAGCCACTTCAGGGACAGACTGATATTCTGCAAAAGTTACAGGGATTGGACTGCTGAGGACTGGGGTAAAGTCATTTTCTCTGATGAATCCCCTTTCTGATTGTTTGGGGCATCCAGAAAACACCTTGTCCGGAGAAGACAAGGTGAGCGCTACCATCAGTCCTGTGTCATGCCAACGGTAAAGCATCCTGAGACCATTCATGTGTGGGGTTGCTTCTCAGCCAAGGGAGTGGGCTCACTCACAATTTTGCCTAAGAACACAGCCATGAATAAAGAATGGTACCAACACATCCTCAGAGAGCAACTTCTCCCAACCATCCATGAACAGCATGATGGAGCACCTTGCCATAAGGCAAAAGTGATAACTAAGTGGCTCGGGGAACAAAACATCAACATTTTGGGTCCATGGCCAGGAAACTCCCCAGATCTTAATCCCATTGAGAACTTGTGGTCGATCCTCAATAGGCGGGTGGACAAACAAAAACCCACAAATTCTGACTAACTCCAAGCATTGATTATGCAAGAATGGGCTGCCATCAGTCAGGATGTGGCCCAGAAGTTAATTGACAGCATGCCAGGGCGGATTGCAGAGGTCTTGAAAAATATATATTGACTCTTTGCATAAACTTAATGTAATTGTCAATAAAAGCCATTGACACTCATGGAATGCTTGTAATTATACTTCAGTATACCATATTAACATCTGACAAATATCTCATAACACTGAAGCAGCGAACTTTGTGAAGACCAATACTTGTGTCATTCTCAACTTTTGACCACGACTGTATATACTGTATTCTATTCTACTGTATTTTAGTCATTGCCACTCCGACATTGCTCGTCCTAATATTTATATCTTTCTTAATTCCATTATTTTACTTTTAGATTCGTGTGTATTGTTGTGAATTGTTAGACACTACTGCACTGTTGGAGCTAGGTTAATATGTGTGTGTGTGACCAATAACATTTGATTTGAACAATCATTTGCAGGTTAATAGCAGTCAGCAGTTTACACACCAACTAGGCTACTGGGAAGACAGGCAGCACTTAAAGTAGATCGCCCTAGCTAGCAAGAAAACAGTACCAGATAGACAAAAATTATACTTATCACTCCTGAAGATATCAGGAGTCCTCTAGCTATAGAATGAAGCACTCATTTGAGAGTAATTGTTATCATTGTCATTACAGCTGCCTGTTCCCATACATTATTAACTGACTCACCTGGTCAGTTAAATAAAATAATAAATAAATAAATTACCATCTCCCAGAAGTAGACGGCCATCTCGCTGCGGTTCTGCAGCACAGCCCAGATGAACAGAGAGGCCCACGGGTTGAGACAGCTCTGCTCCCTGTACGAACAATCCCCCAGCAACAACTTATTCACTTGCTGAGAGGGGAGAGAGATATATAGAGCGAGAGATCGAGAGAGAGAGAGTGAATACAGCTTGGTTAGCACAGCAGTCACAGTTACATTCTATGGCAAGTCATGCAGTGGTATAACCTTAGCAGTGTTGATAATTCAACTATATTGGTGGAGTGGAGTCTACTCTATAACATGAATAAGTAGGCCTAGTTCACATCACTGGACCTTGGCATTGAGAACAGATGCATTTGTAATTCATGGACCCTGGTCAAAAGTAGTGCACTACACACTTAGGAAAAAGGGTTCTAAAATAGTTGTTTGCGGAAGGGATAAGGTTCTACCAAGAACTGTTTTCATCTTAAGAACCCTTTATGGAAACTGAGGTTTCTTTGTAAGGCAAAGGGTTCTACCTAGAACCTTTTTTTGAAGAAAGGGTTCTTTGATGATTAATTATAAGGGAAGAATGATTGAAAGGCAAGAAGGGTTCTACATAAACTGTTCTGAATCTAAATGAGCTTTAAAAAAAAAAAATATATATATATATATATATATATATATATATATATATATATATATATATATATATATATAATATATATATATATATATATATATATATATATACAGTGAGGGAAAAAAGTATTTGATCCCCTGCTGATTTTGTACGTTTGCCCACTGACAAAGACATGATCAGTCTATAATTTTAATGGTAGGTGTATTTGAACAGTGAGAGACAGAATAACAACAACAAAAATCCAGAAAAACACATGTCAAAAATGTTATAAATTGATTTGCATTTTAATGAGGGAAATAAGTATTTGACCCCTCTGCAAAACCCTTGTTGGCAATCACAGAGGTCAGATGTTTCTTGTAGTTGGCCACCAGGTTTGCACACATCTCAGGAGGGATTTTGTCCCACTCCTCTTTGCAGATCTTTTCCAAGTCATTAAGGTTTCGAGGCTGACGTTTGGCAACTCGAACCTTCAGCTCCCTCCACAGATTTTCTATGGGATTAAGGTCTGGAGACTGGCTAGGCCACTCCAGGACCTTAATGTGCTCCTTCTTGAGCCACTCCTTTGTTGCCTTGGCTGTATGTTTTGGGTCATTGTCATGCTGGAATACCCATCCACGACCCATTTTCAATGCCCTGGCTGAGGGAAGGAGGTTCTCACCCAAGATTTGACGGTACATGGCTCCGTCCATCGTCCCTTTGATGCGGTGAAGTTGTCCTGTCCCCTTAGCAGAAAAACACCCCCAAAGCATAATGTTTCTACCTCCATGTTTGACGGTGGGGATGGTGTTCTTGGAGTCATAGGCAGCATTCCTCTTCCTCCAAACACGGCGAGTTGAGTTGATGCCAAAGAGCTCCATTTTGGTCTCATCTGACCACAACACTGTCACCCAGTTCTCCTCTGAATCATTCAGATGTTCATTGGCAAACTTCAGAAGGGCCTGTATATGTGCTTTCTTGAGCAAGGGGACCTTGCGGGCGCTGCAGGATTTCAGTCCTTCACGGCATAATGTGTTACCAATTATTTTCTTGGAGAATATGGTCCCAGCTGCCTTGAGAGCATTGACAAGATCCTCCCGTGTAGTTCTGGGCTGATTCCTCACCGTTCTCATGATCATTGCAACTCCACGAGGTGAGATCTTGCATGGAGCCCCAGGCTGAGGGAGATTGACAGTTCTTTTGTGTTTCTTCCATTTGCGAATAATCGCACCGACTGTTGTCACCTTCTCACCAAGCTGCTTGGCGATGGTCTTGTAGCCCATTCCAGCCTTGTGTAGGTCTACAATCTTGTCCCTGACATCCTTGGAGAGCTCTTTGGTCTTGGCCATGGTGGAGAGTTTAAAATCGAATTGATTGATTGCTTCTGTGGACAGGTGTCTTTTATACAGGTAACAAGCTGAGATTAGGAGCACTCCCTTTAAGAGTGTGCTCCTAATCTCAGCTCATTACCTGTATAAAAGACACCTGGGAGCCAGAAATCTTTCTGATTGAGAGGGGGTCAAATACTTATTTCCCTCATTAAAATGCAAATCAATGTATAACATTTTTGACATGCGTTTTTCTGGATGTTTTTGTTGTTATTCTGTCTCTCACTGTTCAAATAAACCTACCATTAAAATTATAGACTGCTCATTTCTTTGTCAGTGGGCAAACGTACAATATCAGCAGGGGATCAAATACTTGTTTCCCTCACTAGTGTTTACCTCAGTGTTTATAACTTCAATATCAAGAGTTTTAGTAATCTGTTACGTTTAAAAAGATAGGTGTGAGAATGTTTTAAACTGTACCTATATGGGAATATTTGTGAATGTATCTGGTATTCCCTTCATTATTTTACCTATGGGTCGATCCTCCAATGAGTACCTTTTGGGTAGTGTAACTTAATAAAAAAATATATATATTTCAGGTTTGAACGTAACAGGATTGACGATGTGATCTTACATTTTTTATTAGTCATTTAGTAGACGCTCTTATCCAGAGCGACTTACAGGAGCAATTTGGGTTAAGTGCCTTGCTCAAGGGCACATCGACAGATTTTTCACCTAGTCGGCTCGGGGATTAGAACCAGCAACCTTTCGGTTACTGTCACAACGCTCTTAACCACTAAGCTACCTGCCGCCCATTTAATCAGCCATAAATAACCTTGTAACAGGGGGAATAGAAGCTTATTACAGTGCCTTTCAGGGTTGAACGTAACAGGGTTGACCGTTACAGGGTTGACGATTTGATCTTTAAATCAGCCATAAATAAACTATTCCCCCTGTTCCAAGGTTATCAGGATAAAAAATAAACGTAATTGAGCTAAGCACAGGCAAAATCCTACAGAAAAACCTGGTTCAGGCTGCTTTCCACCAGACACTGGGAGATGAATTCACCTTTCAGCAGGACAATAACCTAAAACACAAGGGCAAATCTACACTGGAGTTGCTTACCAAGAAGACAGTGACTGTTCCTGAGTGGCCGAGTTACAGTTTTGACTTAAACTATTTGTCTATAAATTATCAACAACCAATTTGAGAGAGTTTGACGAATTCTGAAAATAATAATGGACAAAATATGCACAATCCAGGTGTGGAAAGCTCTTAGAGACTTACCCAGAAAGACTTACAGCTGTAATAGCTGCCAAAGGTGCTACTACAAAGTATTGACTCAGGGGTGTCAATAGTTATGTAAATTAGATATTTATTTATTGAATTTTCTATACATTTGCAAACATTTCTAAAAACATGCTTGGCGATGAACCAGGTCCATCATTATCATATTTCCCAGCATGCTCTTTTGCAGGTTGATTTTCAGAATTGTTTGTTTCAGTATCTGTATTTTTGCATGTACATTGATTGCTTAGTTAATCTTATGCTACACAAACATAAATTACACACATTTTTCTAAACTAGTCCAATCTGTTAGTAGTTGGACTTATTGCACCTGTTACTGAGATGGTTGTTCCAGTTTAGATGATTTAGGTAGTCTCATTGATTATTCTTCCCTACCATGGCAGTCATTCTAAATGCAGGTTGTGGGTGATTCCAGTTGTTGGATATCCTCGCTCTGGCTGAATTCCAATAAGAATTACACATCACTTTGCAAGCCAGGAGCTTCAGACCACTTTGATATATGCAATATATTGTCATAAAGAGTTGAATTTCATTTGTACATTTGTTTATCCAATTTTACCCAATTTTCTCACCAATTTCTCCCTTGTTTCATTGCGGCAACTCCCCAATGGGCTCGGTAATATCAGGACATGTGTCCTCCGAAACATGCTCCGCCAAGCCGTGCTGCTTCTTATACACAATGCTCGCTAACCCGGAAGTCAGCCGCCCCAATGTTTCTGAGACAAACACGGTGAAACTGATGACCGCTGTCAGCTTGCAGGCACCCGGCCTGCCACAAGGAGTTGCTAGAGTGCGATGAGACAAGGAAACCCCAGCCGGGAACTACCGACCCCTACACCACCCTTGGGAGCTCCCAGTCACGACCGGCTATGACACAACCTGGGATCGAATTCAGGCTGTAGTGGTGTCTCTGCACTTTGGTGAAGAGCCTTAAACCGCTGTGCCACTTGGGAGGCAAAATAGTTTAATTTGAAAGGCTAATAAGGCTGGTGGAACCATTCATAGATAGTTCTAGGAAAAAAGCTTCAAAGATAAAAGGGGTTTTGGTAGAACAGTTCATAGAGGGTTCTAGGAAGAACCCTTAAAAAATGAAAAGGTTCACGGTAGAACCCTTCATAGAGGGTTCTAGGGAGAACATTTAGATGATAAAATGGTTCTCAGTAGAACCATTTATAGGTTCTAGGAATAACCCTTCATAGAGGGTTCTACCTTTGCACCAAAAATAGTTCCCTTTTGGAGACAAGCCGAAGAACCCTATTTGGTTCTACTTAGCACCTTTTTTTCTAAGTGTATAGGGTTGGGGTATTCAACTCTTACCCTACGAGGTCCAGAGCCTGCTGGTTTTCTGTTCTACCAATAGAAAATTGTTCTACCTGATAATTAATTGCACCCACCTGGTGTCCCAGGTCTATATCAGTCCCTGATTAGAGGGGAACAATTTAAAAAAGCAGTGGAACTAGCTTCGAGTTTGAGGGATATAGTGGCCAGAGTGCCATTTGGAATACAGCTATGGTAGACACTACCTTCATTGCTCTCCTGGTGCTGGTGCTCTGGTCCAAACCCAGAAGACTGTAGTAGAAGGGCTCACACACATCTCCCAGGATGTCCCATAGAAGCTGTGACACCTTGAGGGAGAGGCGAGAGGAAGTCACATAGAACTGAGATGACTAAATAGTTAAAGCAGATTATCAAACAAAACACCTACATTCGATCAACTGCGTTACAACTCCACACACAGCGAATTACACCATACCTTCCCTTTGACCCCTCCTATTTTATCAATTGACCCTGTAATTTCTCAATACATACCTAGTCATTTCTGTACCATAAAATAAAGTGCAACCCCTCCTAGGGCTGTGGCGGTCACGAAATTTCGTCAGCCAATGATTGTCAAGCAAATAACAGTTGGTCTCACTGTAATTAATTAACAAACACATTTAGCATCTCCTGGCTTCCACACATAGCCTATAAGCCACTGATGCAGACCTTTGGAACATCTACATTTAAAAAAGTATAATAAATCCATGTAATATAGCCTAAACCGCCCCAATAAATCCATTATTTATTTTAGACAGGTCTAAAAAAAACATGATTTGCAGAAAATTTAGTTTATTTCAGAAGAACAGAATTGCTAACTCTGAGTTGTCCTTATGTTAGGTCCTGATCTGGCTATGCCATATGGCTATGGGCTACACTAGATAATTTTGCAAACAAGATTTGGTTAGAATTCCGTGGCATTATTTTATATTATTTTTTAGTATGAAGAATACAATTGAACAAAGCCGAATAAAATAGAAAGGATATTTTCTCCAAAAGATTTGAGGGAGTGCGCACATGCGGCTATTCTGTGTTGAGCGTTTAACAAAGAAATAGGTACTCCTATATGCTTAATTTAGAGTTAATGTAACTTTAGTTGTTCTACAAACATTGGGCTATATGTTTTGATTTTTAATACATTGTAAGGCTGTATGACTCGACTCTAATGATGATTTGAAAAAAGTCGCTTGAAAGGCATGAGCTCTGCTTTGTTTTTTACGCATGCTGTACACACTTCATCAGTCTCTCATTCACAATTTGACAAGCACTTGATAATGCCTCAAATTTCCCAGCGGCATCCCCTTTGTGTGGCCGTAATGCATCCTAACAAAATCCATGCCTTATGCGGCCAGTGGCCGTTGTTCCCTTCTCCCTGAGTGCTGCATGCCCCGAAGCATCTCTCACTCACATGGCTCTTCATCACGTGATCGGGTCTTTCTCACAGGCTACAAGTGAAGACAGACACTTCTGGGACGCAACTGCATGTGTTCTTATCCAATTCCGAGGTGCATATTGAAGATGTAAGAAGAACTGTCCACATTTACTTTTCGTCAGCCAACAAGGCCTAACGAACAGCAAAAGCACTAGCCTATGTCAATCTACTATCCCCGATAGTACAAAAGTTGACCTATTCTATTCTGTGCGAGAAATAAATATTCAAACATAGTCTGGGACAGTTGTGGGATGCAATAGAACCAAATAAACACTACCATTAGAATAAAACAAACTTGATTTACGCAATGAGGCTGACGCAACAGATCAGAACGTTTAGCTTAAAATGTGTTTAGCTTAAAATGTGATAAACTATTAGGCTATTTCTTAACATTATAAGCGCAGCAATGCGCACACTGCAGTAGGCTATAAGCGCGAATGTTCCATTAGCGGGAAACAACCATTATCAAAAGTGATTATGCATATAATGCTTTTATTATAAAGGTGCATTATTATGGTGAAAACAATCTTCCCCAAACTTGAAACTCACGCGCTGCTTACGTATGCCAGTTAGGCTCTACACCCCTTGTAAAGCGGATTAATGTGCTTAATTTTAAGAAGTTATTTGGCCACATATAGGCCTGTGGGCTACATGAGGTGTGCGACTATGATTTGAAAAAGTCAACAACAACAAAAAGGCTTTGTTTCTTGCCTTACGCTGGGCATCATTCATAAGTAATAATATATAATTCACAAGGGATAAGCTAATATTGTCACCCATCAGACTATTCTTGATTTAATCTAGTCTTTACATACAGTGGGGAGAACAAGTATTTGATACACTGCCGATTTTGCATGTAGAGGTCTGTAATTTTTATAATATAATATAATAATATAAATATATAATATAATATGCCATTTAGCAGACGCTTTTATCCAAAGCGACTTACAGTCATGCGTGCATTTTATCATAGGTACACTTCAACTGTGAGAGACGGAATCTAAAACAAAATCCAGAAAATCACATTGTATGATTTTTAAGTAATTAATTTGCATTTTATTGCATGACATAAGTATTTGATCACCTACCAACCAGTAAGAATTCCGGCTCTCACAGACCTGTTAGTTTTTCTTAAAGAAGCCCTCCTGTTCTCCACTCATTACCTGTAATAACTGCACCTGTTTGAACTCGTTACCTGTATAAAAGACACCTGTCCACACACTCAATCAAACAGACTCCAACCTCTCCACAATGGCCAAGACCAGAGAGCTGTGTAAGGACATCAGGGATAAAATTGTAGACCTGCACAAGGCTGGGATGGGCTACAGGACAATAGGCAAGCAGCTTGGTGAGAAGGCAACAACTGTTGGCGCAATTATTAGAAAATGGAAGAAGTTCAAGATGATGGTCAATCACCCTCGGTCTGGGGCTCCATGCAAGATCTCACCTCGTGGGGCATCAATGATCATGAGGAAGGTGAGGGATCAGCCCAGAACTACACGGCAGGACCTGGTCAATGACCTGAAGAGAGCTGGGACCACAGTCTCAAAGAAAACCATTAGTAACACACTACGCCGTCATGGATTTAAATCCTGCAGCGCACGCAAGGTCCCCCTGCTCAAGCCAGCGAATGTCCAGGCCCGTCTGAAGTTTGCCAATGACCATCTGGATGATCCAGAGGAGAAATGGGAGAAGGTCATGTGGTCTGATGAGACAAAAATAGAGCTTTTTGGTCTAAACTCCACTCGCTGTGTTTGGAGGAAGAAGAAGGATGAGTACAACCCCAAGAACACCATCCCAAACGTGAAGCATGGAGGTGGAAACATCATTCTTTGGGGATGCTTTTCTGCAAAGGGGACAGGACGACTGCACCGTATTGAGGGGAGGATGGATGGGGCCATGTATCGCGAGATCTTGGCCAACAACCTCCTTCCCTCAGTAAGAGCATTGAAGATGGGTCGTGGCTGGGTCTTCCAGCATGACAACGACCTGAAACACACAGCCAGGGCAACTAAGGAGTGGCTCCGTAAGAAGCATCTCAAGGTCCTGGAGTGGCCTAGCCAGTCTCCAGACCTGAACCCAATAGAAAATCTTTGGAGGGAGCTGAAAGTCCGTATTGCCCAGCGACAGCCCCGAAACCTGAAGGATCTGGAGAAGGTCTGTATGGAGGAGTGGGCCAAAATCCCTGCTGCAGTGTGTGCAAACCTGGTCAAGACCTACAGGAAACGTATGATCTCTGTAATTGCAAACAAAGGTTTCTGTACCAAATATTAAGTTTAGATTCCGTCTCTCACAGTTGAAGTGTACCTATGATAAAAATTACAGACCTCTACATGCTTTGTAGGTAGGAAAACCTGCAAAATCGGCAGTGTATCAAATACTTGTTCTACCCACTGTATACTAATGTATGTGTGAAATTTGTTTTGATTTAGAATGGACCATTATCATGCACCTGTCTCGAAACAGGAGCAGGGGAAAAAATACATGTCTTCTATGCACTTAAATAGCGAATGGAGGACACTTTTCCCATGGTTCATTTTTATGCCAGCCAGGTAGGCTATACTCCTTTTGTAAAGATAAGCAATGTGCTTAATATTAGGAAAATTGAGGCCTAGCCTATAGAAAACTGATGGGATCCTCCTCTTTTTAATAGGAGGCCATCACTCTGTTTTCTCTCGCAATTGCATAGCCTATAGAAATGTTTTGCAACATGAGCTCATGGGCACTTATTAAGTGTTTGATTAGATTTGCGATCACATTTGCATCGATGTCAGAGTGATTAGAGGGACAATATAGTGCTGAGTACCAGGCGGTTAGCCAGTTTGGTAGGCTATTAATGACCATCAGCAGCATCAGAGCTTGGAGAAGCCTAATTACCGTGACTAAAGGGTCAAGTGGAATTTGACTGCCTTCATGACTGCCGGTGTGGCGGTAATACAGTCACCACAACAGCCCTAACCCCTCCTCACCTCATACAAGCTGAGCTCTTTGGCAGAGGAGGGTCCTGATAGGGGGCTCTGGGGGCTCTTGAGGGCTAAGGCCTCTTTCGGAGAGCAGGCAGCGGTAGGCAGGTATCCGGCCAGGCCCTGCCTCTCTGTGAGAAGCCGCTGGAGCAGCGTGTAGGCCAGAGAACTGTCGGACAGCGAGCGGTACAGGACCTCCAGATGCCTGTAAGTTAGGTAGTCCAGGATGTTGAGGCCGTTCTCGTTGAAGAGACGTATGAACTGGGGCTTGTCGTTGATCAGCGCATCCGTCATGGAGTCCTCCAGGTCCTCGTACTGTGGGAGGATAGGAGGGTGTTTTTATAAACATGTCTATCTGTCGATCAGTCAATCTATCTGTCTGTCAAAGTTGAAACAATACTATTGAGAAAATTAAGGAACGCTTTACGAATTGAATCGATTTCCAACTTCCCTCCTCCACCACCCTAGCCTCTCTATATTGTTCAATTTCCAATTTGTGAAGCGGAAACATAGTCTGCCTATCGGTCTGTTCTGCCTGCCTGTTTTAAATATAATAAATGCCTTGTCAACTAAATAACATAACATAACATAACATTTAATAAATGGTGTTAAAAAGTGGCATTAGAAGTGAGGAGCAGTTCACCCTCCATTGGATGTCTCCGTTGAAGAGTTCACTCTTAGCGATGTCCACCCTGTTCCAGGCTACTGCTAGCTTCAGCTCCTCTGTGTACTCACTGGCATCGCTTGACACACGTTTACTAGCTGACGGAAAAATACATAGAACGAATGATTAGTTTGACCAGGATCATGTTCAACATATCTGTCAACAGATAGAAAACGCACGCACACATGCACGCACACATGCATGCATTCACGCACCTACCTCTGACAAGAGCCTTCAGTAGCACTGTATCAAAATCATCAGGACTCTCCTGCTCCCCGTGGAACACTGTGATCAGATCTCTGTTTTTATAGATACTCAGAGCCTTGGGGGGGGAGATGAGCAGTATGATAGTCACTTACTCGCTTACTCACTCGAACTCGCTTTCTCTTTCACACACCAACACCCATAGACAGACGCGTGGATGCTTGTACACGTATACACACTTTTTATAAACTGGGTGGTCGAGCCCTGAATCCGGATTGGCTGAAACCCGTGGTATATCAGACCGTATACCATGGGTATGACAAAATATTTATTTGTACTGCTCTAATTATGTTGGTAACCAGTTTATAATAGCAATAAGGCACCTCGGGGGTTTGTGATATATGGCCAATATACCACGTCTAAGGGCTGTGTCCTAGCACTCCGCATTGCGTCGTGCGTAAGAACATCCCTTAGCTGTGGTATATTGGCCATATACCACACCCCCTTGGGCCTTATTGCTTAAATATACACACACACACACACACACAAACATTACTATGCATACTACCTCTTCTATTACTTTTTTTATTTTTACTTCTTATTATTGATGATTGTACTGCAATGTTGTGGGAGCTAGCGAACAAGCATTTCACTGTACCTTTTATACCTGCTGTAAACCGTGCACGTGACAAATAAAATAAAACACACACACACACACACACACTCACCCTGTCCACAAGCTTCTCCAGGTCTGCCTTGGCAGGGAAGTATCTCCGGACCCTCTCACGGGCTCTGTCGCGCAGCTCCACGCTGGCCTTCTCGCTCCCCTCACCCTCTGGCGGGGGAGAGTGGGGGCTCATGGGCACGGCTGACAGGGCATCCAGCAGCTCACAGATAAGGTCCGCCGCTGGACCAGAACCATTCAACACCAGCCAGGGAGTAGCCTTCTTCAGAGAGAGATCCATCCTCTGGAGGATAGAGGTATGAGAGAGAACCAGAAAAGAGAGTGAGAGAGAGAAAGAAAAAAAGAGAAGAGAGAGAGAGACAGTAGAGAGGTCATGAAAAGTAAAGTAAGTCATAGTGATGATAGTGATGTTGCCATAGCTTACCTCCAGCATGGCAGCTTCCCCTGAGATGAGCATACACAATACAGGGACATCTATACTGCCACTACCTGGAAAACAACAGGTACAGGGAAGGGGTGTTGGGAAAATGGGAGAAGTCCATAAAATTCTTGTCAAGTTTTTAGTCATGAGTCATTGATCAGATGTCATAGTGAATGTCCATCATATTTATGTCAATGTGTGAATGTTTCATGATTTACTACTCATAAGAATATTTATAAATATGTATTTTTCCACAAGCATCATGGGTTTGGAACGGTGAGTTAAATGTATTTCCTTATAAAATACGAATAAGAAAATGGAACACTACACAAAAGAGAGGAGGAGATTGCCTTGTATAGTCATGATGTCAATAGAACAATAGAACATCTGGGTTGTTTGCCAGATGAGTTCAACTTTGGATTTACTTGTTAGTCTTTCTTCCTTTTTATATATAAATAACCCACCAAATATAAGCAATACAAAAGAGTTACACGAGTTTCATAGAGTATTAAAGGCTATATCATATCGCAAAGGACGTTGGTAAATGTGAAAACTCACACTCGAACGTTATGAGAATTAAATCAAGTTTTGTAAATACGTGGCAATAGGATATGGGCTTTATAGCATCTAGCTATCAACATTGTTGTGGTTCTACTGATTTAATTACATCTAGTCTCATTTTCCAACCGCAAGCAAGGAGTCACCGTTCAGTGGTCCCCTGTAATACTCATTACGGCTTAACCTCACACTTGCATGCTGAAATGTGTGAACTGGAAACATGATTGCTGATAAGAAAAGTAATATTGTTGATCTGAACATAGTACACCTTAAATGGGTGGTTTAAACATACTGCGCATCACCTGTACACCTGGGGACTTGTCTTACAAGTGTGTGTGTGTGTATCTATGTGCATGTGTGCGTGCATGTGCGTTTGTAACCTATGTGTCTACTGAGTCTCACCCCAGATGCCGGTGCGCTGGTGGGAGATGTAGTCCTCCATCTTAGCCCGGAAGGCTGTTTCCCCTCCCCGCCGGCCTACACTCCCATCATCTACCAGCAGGAAGGCCTGGTAGTTACTATCCAGGCAGCACGAATCACTGGACGTGTTCTGGACATAATACCGTGCTGGAAAACTACCCTGAGGGAGGAGGAGGAAGAGGGGGGCAGAGAGAGAGAGAGAGACAGAGAGAGAGAGGAGAGAGAGAAGAGAGAGCGCATTGTGATTACCATCCCTTGTGTAATGCAATTTCCTTGTTATTGTTATTGTGTGTGCGTGTACCTCAGCGTTGACGAGCCACTGTCTGTTGTGCACGAGGCCCCAGGGGGCCACGCCCACAGCGATGACTTTCTTCTGGGACAGGGAGGAGGCCGCCGCCGCATGATCCCTCACTGCCTCCCCAACACAACGACCCACCCCCTCCCTCAGCCCCCCCGTCACTATCCACGCCCCTGGGAGAGAGGAGAAAGAGAAGAGGAGGGAGAGATGTGGGGAGGGAAGGGGGAGAGTGAGAGAGTGAGAGAAAGCAAGCGAGAAATGTTTGACACAATAATATGCCAGCAGACGCCTTTATTTAAAGCGACTTGCAGTACAGTGAGTGCATACATTTGTTTTATGTGTATGTGACACCTGCGGGAATTGAACCCAAAACCTTGGAATAGCAAGCACCACTTTCTTACCAACAGCGCAACACATGATCATAGACAACGGCCAGTAAACAATAGACAGATAAGGAGCTTGTTGGTTATGAGTCAAGGGAACTGTGAAAATACGTACTCTACACATCCTTCCTTTCCTAATATATAAATATTATAATATGCCATTTAGCAGAGACGTTTACCCAAAGCGACTTACAGTCATGCATGCATATATTTTGTGTATGGGTGTGGTCCCAGGAATCAAACCCACTATCTTGGCATTGCAAGCGCTATGCTCTACCAACTGAGCTACAGAGGACCACAGGTGCTACAGATGACTGTCCTCCCTCCCTCTTTCCTTCAAAAGTAATTTTGTCCATTTAATGGCAGTGAAAGATGCCATCATGTATTGGAATCAGGCCAAGAAAGGGTTTTCTTTCAAATGCTCAATTTGATTGCTCACTTACGCACTTCTATTCCTTCTCTGGATCAGCGCTCATCTGACCTACTGGTTTGATTACTACTGCTTTGTCTGCAAACTTTATTATGCTTTATGGCTGAACTTTCTTATTTCCCTGCCTTGCTTTAATTAACAACTGTCTGGCCTAGACGGTCATGTGTTTTGTGCACTTCGAACCAGTACAGCCAGAGGAGGAGAAGGAGGAGACTCAGAGACAGAGATGGAAGAGGAATCAAGACACCCCACTCGCTGGATTTATCTTTTTTTTCTGGTTCAATTAAAATGAATTAACTAAGTAGACCAGACTCAGCTGCTATTACACTGGGAGACACACCCAGTTAAGTAGAAAAACAAATTCAATGGTAAACGGCCTAAGTGAACTATCTTCATTTATCCACCATCTTTGTCAGAGCTTCAAACTGATATATACAATGTAGTTGGAGGAAACATGGCTGGGCTTCCTGCCTGTGCCATTAAACCCCTACAACTCATCCGGAACGCCGCAGCCCATCTGGTGTTCAACCTTCCCAAGTTCTCTCACGTCACCCCGCTCCTCCGCACACTCCACTGGCTTCCAGTTGAAGCTTGCATCTGCTACAAAACCATGGTGCTTGCCTACGGAGCTGTGAGGGGAACGGCACCTCCGTACCTTCAGGCTCTGATCAGTCCCTACACCCAAACGAGGGCATTGCGTTCATCCACCTCTGGCCTGCTGGCTCCCCTACCTCTGCGGAAGCACAGTTCCCGCTCAGCCCAGTCAAAACTGTTCGCTGCTCTGGCACCCCAATGGTGGAACAAGCTCCCTCACGACGCCAGGACAGCGGAGTCACTCACCACCTTCCGGAGACACTTGAAACCCCACCTCTTTAAGGAATACCTGGGATAGGATAAAGTAATCCTTCTACCCCCCCCCCCCCCAAAAAAGGTGAATGCACCAATTTGTAAGTCGCTGGATAAGAGCGTCTGCTAAATGACGAAAATGTAAATGTAAAGTTATGCTACTTTGAAAGTTGATAAACTTGTAAACCCACTAGGAGACAAGTAGCAGAAAAGCCTTTGAAAGCCTCTTCTTTGTTTAAGCCTATTCAGCATTGTTCACTTTAGCCCCACCCAGAGTCAGCATATGAGTCATCATGTCCTCCAGAAACTAACCTCTCCAGTTCCTACTCCAGTCTCATTTTCAGCTCATTTATCACCTGATTTACTTAACAAAAGAAACATCTCAAAAGGTGGTCCAGGTGTCCTCTGATATGGCACAAGTGGTGGGCCTTTCCTCTTTTGTTCTGAATTGCTCCTCTATTGTTCTTCAAGCAAGGGGGAGGCATATGACATCAGAGGGCACCATCAGGCCAACTCCTTGAATGGCCTACTCCATGAAGTTTGCACTCACTATTTTGCTCAAAGCATATGTTTTTTTTACCCTTAAAGCTGTAACTTTATAGGCAACCTGACCAAATTCACATAGAAATGTGAGTTATAGATCTTTCATTCTCGTTGAAAGCAAGTCTAAGAAGCTGTAGATCTGTTCTATGTGCACTATTTCTAGGCTTACCGTTCTTAAGATTTGTTTTTGAGTCTTATTTAGGTTTTGTACACCAGCTTCAAAACAGCAGAAAAAACAATATTTTTGGTTATGGAAAATAAATTTCACAGCGGTTTAGATAGTACAATGATTCTCTACACAATGACTGCTTGTTTTGTCACATAAACTGAAATTAGGCAAACTATAAAAATTTTAGCAACCAGGAAATGGCGGAGCGATTTCTGCATACCGCACCTTTAAGTACATTACTGTACGTGGGATATTGTTTTTCAGCATGAAAATTAAAAGAAATTGCTGAAGTGGATCTTTAAACTTTCTACCACTGAGCTTTGCCGATAGCACCAGCTAAATTCAGGGCAGCAATGTTGTTGAGAGCTGTAGCAACACTTTTGCAGTTGTCCACAGCTTTATCTTTCCAACAATCGGCAGTAACAAAGATTATCTACATACCGGCCAGGGGTACAGTGGGAAAAAAAATTATTTAGTCAGCCACCAATTGTGCAAGTTCTCCCACTTAAAAAGATGAGAGAGGCCTGTAATTTTTATCATAGGTACACGTCAACTATGACAGGCAAAATGAGAATATTTCTTTTTCCAGAAAATCACATTGTAGGATTTTTTATGAATTTATTTGCAAATTATGGTGGAAAATAAGTATTTGGTCAATAACAAAAGTTTCTCAATACTTTGTTATATACCCTTTGTTGGCAATGACACAGGTCAAACGTTTTCTGTAAGTCTTCACAAGGTTTTCACACACTGTTGCTGGTATTTTGGCCCATTCCTCCATGCAGATCTCCTCTAGAGCAGTGATGTTTTGGGGCTGTCGCTGGGCAACACAGACTTTCAACTCCCTCCAAAGATTTTCTATGGGGTTGAGATCTGGAGACTGGCTAGGCCACTCCAGGACCTTGAAATGCTTCTTACGAAGCCACTCCTTCGTTGCCCGGGCGGTGTGTTTGGGATCATTGTCATGCTGAAAGACCCAGCCACGTTTCATCTTCAATGCCCTTGCTGATGGAAGGAGCTTTTCACTCAAAATCTCACGATACATGGCCCCATTCATTCTTTCCATTACACGGATCAGTCGTCCTGGTCCCTTTGCAGAAAAACAGCCCCAAAGCAAGATGTTTACACCCCCATGCTTCACAGTAGGTATAGTGTTCTTTGGATGCAACTCAGCATTCTTTGTCCTCCAAACACGATGAGTTGAGTTTTTACCAAAAAGTTCTATTTTGGTTTCATCTGACCATATGACATTCTCCCAATCCTCTTCTGGATCATCCAAATGCACTCTAGCAAACTTCAGACGGGCCTGGACATGTACTGGCTTAAGCAGGGGGACACGTCTGGCACTGCAGGATTTGAGTCCCTGGCGGCGTAGTGTGTTACTGATGGTAGGCTTTGTTACTTTGGTCCCAGCTCTCTGCAGGTCATTCACTAGGTCCCCCCGTGTGGTTCTGGGATTTTTGCTCACCGTTCTTGTGATCATTTTGACCCCACGGGGTGAGATCTTGCGTGGAGCCCCAGATCGAGGGAGATTATCAGTGGTCTTGTATGTCTTCCATTTCCTAATAATTGCTCCCACAGTTGATTTCTTCAAACCAAGCTGCTTACCTATAGCAGATTCAGTCTTCCCAGCCTGGTGCAGGTCTACAATTTTGTTTCTGGTGTCCTTTGACAGCTCTTTGGTCTTGGCCATAGTGGAGTTTGGAGTGTGACTGTTTGAGGTTGTGGACAGGTGTCTTTTATACTGATAACAAGTTCAAACTGGTGCCATTAATACAGGTAACGAGTGGAGGACAGAGGAGCCTCTTAAAGAAGAAGTTACAGGTCTGTGAGAGCCAGAAATCTTGCTAGTTTGTAGGTGACCAAATACTTATTTTCCACCATAATTTGTAAATAAATTCATTAAAAATCCTACAATGTGATTTTCTGGATTTTTTTCCCTCAATTTGTCTGTCATAGTTGACGTGTACCTATGATGAAAATTACAGGCCTCTCTCATCTTGTTAAGTGGGAGAACTTGCACAATTGGTGGCTGACTAAATACTTTTTTCCCCCACTGTATGTTCTGTTTGCTTCAACGTTTGCTACGTTGCATGATGGTTTGTACTGAACGGCACGTTTCCTTTGAGGTACGTTTGCTCCTGTTTGGTAGGTATGGCGAGGTGTGGCCTGATCAATATGGGTTTGAGTATCTGAAACTCGTGCAACACACCATATGGTAGCTGCCCTCTGGGCCACTATACTCACAACATTTTCCAACTGGTCTTTCAGTACAGTACCGTTTCCGTTGAATTCAACTTTGCACACCGTTCTGTCATACTGAACGCAACCCTGGGAAGCCTCAATTATGTTATAGACAGAAGCCTGTGACATGAAAGACCAATCAGGACTCATCTCTCGGCATGTCCAGCCCCTCCATTATCTCAGCCAATCAGGGCAAGCCAGGAAAGATCCTTTCTTTCTCCCTGGCTGCACAGTACGAAAAAAACGGTGTGCAATGTTCAGTTAAACAGAAATGGTGTTGTTCTGAACGGCCAGTAGAAAAACGGGGAGGGGTTGGGTTGTGGGTTGGAAAGTGAGGGAGTGCTATCAATGACCCGGGCATGCACTGGATGAAGCGGGTTAACGTTGATTCCATTCAATTTGGAATCGGGCTGCCTACCGGGCATGAGCCAAGTGCCCCGTTTTGATCGACGGCGAAGTCGGCTGAAAACAAAAGTGACGTAGGTTAAGCACATAAGTAAGATTATTTGTTTTCACATGCAAAAATGATTACTCTTGATAAAAAGGCTTTATCTGCCTTCCCAATGAAAACTAGTTTGAAGATTGGAACATATCTTTTATGGAAAAGAGATGTATGTTTCTGAACGATGCATCATGCTGACTGGTTGACAACATGATCGGGCGGCGCAGATTACTGTTCTATTTGAGAAGGGCGCTCCTCCCTCACCGTTTTTTTCCGCATTACAAATTAATAATATGCTTGAGAAAACGTCACTCATTGCTTCAAGCCACACCCGCCAAACAGAGCAAACGTACCTCAAAGTCTGTTAAAAAACATTGAAGAACGTTTTGGGGAAATCTGTCATTTAGTACAAATGGTCACACAATGTACCAAACAGAATTTGGCAGTACGTCCAATGATAATGCACGGCCCCATGTCGCAAGGATCTGTACACAATTCCTGGAAGCTGAAAATGTCCCAGATCTTCCATGGCCTGCATACCCATTAAGCATGTTTGGGATGCTCTGGATCGACATGAATGACAGTGTGTTCCAGTTCCCGCCAATATCCAGCAATTGAAGAGGAGTGGGACAACATTCCACAGGATACAATCAACAGCCTGATCAAATCTATGCGAAGGAGATGTGTCGCGATGCATGAGGCAAAATGTGGTCACACCAGATACCGAATGGTTTTCTGATCCACGCCCCTACTGTGATCAACAGATGCATATCTGTATTCCCAGTCATGTGAACTCCATAGATTAGTGCCTAATGAATTTATTTCCATTGACGGTAACACTTTACCTGACACCCAGCGTCATAACAAGTTATGACACGTTCATAACCATGTCATAATAGGTGTCAAGTAAAGTGTTATATATATTATAAAAATAACAGCCCTACAGTGAAGTAGGAACTAGTGCCAAAGGACCAGCTTCCTTAATCCCATCACAAATGGTTACTAAACAACTCAAGACATCAAAAGGGGTTCTTAGAACCAGGATCTCCCGAGTGGCGCAGTGGTCTAAGGCACTGCATCGCAGTGCTAGCTGTGCCACTAGAGATCCTGGTTCGAATCCAGGCTCTGCTGTAGCCGGCTGCAACCGGGAGACCAATGGCATAATTGGTCCAGGGTAGGGGAGGGAATGGCCGGCAGGGAGGTAGCTCAGTTGGTAGAGCATGGCGTTTGCAACGTCAGGGTTGTGGGTTCGATTCCCACGGGGGGCCAGTATGAAAAAAAAAAAATGAATAATGTATGCACTAACTGTAAGTCGCTCTGGATAAGAGCGTCTGCTAAATAATGTAAATGTAGATACTTATGACAATGCGTATAATGCATTATAATCGCATCATGATGCATTAAAGAGTATGTATGTATCATGATGTATGTTAAAGAGACTGGACCCATTAATCTCAATATGGATTATTGATATTTTAAACAAATAGATGAAACAGTGGGCGTTGTCCTCACCTGTGCTCTGTGCCGTCATGACTCTTACCCAGGACACCAGTGTGTGTGTGTGTGTGTGTGTGTGTCTCTCACCTGTGCTCTGTGCCGCCCTGACCAGCCCCTGTCTCAGCACCTCCCTGACCCAGGTCTTGACCTTCTCGTGACCCCTCCCCCCCCCCACCACAGAAACCACCAGGTTGGGGGAGGGCACCCCCCAATGGGCCGTCATCAGGCTGTACATGATATGAAGTGGGGTGTCGCATGACAGACGCAGGAACTGACCAATAGGAAAAGAAGAGGGGAAAAAAGGGACAATTAGTATCGCCACACAAAGTTATGATGATCAAGAGGCTGAGGTGTTTCGTGAATACTGGTGCTACATAAAATGCTCCTTGCTAGTTGCTTGTTTTGCCTATGGTGTAGCTATTCAGAGGCAAAGAGATATCGGTACAGATGAGAACATTTCGTCTGACTGAGCCAATGTTGTGAGGCCTGGCAGCACTGCTAGAACACAGACTTCTCTGCTATGGTTCCATAGAATGCCAGACAGACGTTCTGCCGTGACAGCCTCATACAGTATCTCACCACTGCTAACTGCAAGGGATGACACATGGAAAAAATTCTTAACGTTTAAACTGCTTTTTTTTTACAGTTAAAGCGATAAGAAAAATGCATGAAATTCCAGGTGAATTCACCATGCAGAATATCAACTCCGAGCCCCACCCGATATCCAACATCAGGACAGTTTTTTCTCCACAACCCGATCCACCCGCATTGTTCAGAGAGCCGATCCGTGACAATTGATTTAATTCCACGTGAAGCTGTCTTATGTCCGTTGTTGTGGGGCTGTGCTGCTGCCAGCAACGGTTTGGGTCTCATTGTGAATCTCTTTCAGATGGGTTAAGCATTGCACCTGTACTACCACTACTGTATCTCAATTCCACCTCGAAAAGTTTGCATTTCACCACCTTCTCATTTAACTTCTCAAAGTATTGCCATTCAGGACTTCGCTGCTGTCACCTGAATTTCCTTGCCATTTTTCCAACTGTTAACAACAATGACGTGCTGAGCGATTTACAGTACCAGTCAACAGTTTAGACACACCTACTCATTCAAGGGTTTTTCTTTATTTTCACTATTTTCTACATTGTAGAATAATAGTGAAGACATCAAAACTATGAAATAACACATTTGGAATAATGTAGTAACCAAAAAAGTGTTAAACAAATCAAAATATATTTTGTATTTGAGATTCTACAAATAGCCACCCTTTGCCTTGATGACAGCTTTACACACTCTTGGCATTCTCAACCAGTTTCACCTGGAATGCTTTTCCAACAGTCTTGAAAGTGTTCCCACATATGCTGAGCACTTGTTGGCTTCTTTTCCTTCACTCTGTGGTCCGACTCATCCCAAACCATCTCAATTGGGTTGAGGTCGGGAGATTGTGGAGGCCAGGTCATCTGATGCAGCACTCAATCACTCTCCTTCTTGGTAAAATAGCCCTTACACAGCCTGGAGGTGTGTTGGGTCATTGTCCTGTTGAAAGACAAATTATATCCCATCTGGTTTGGGCTTCGTGGGACTGGCGTATCACTGCAGAATGCTGTGGTAGCCATGCTGGTTAAGTGTGCCTTGAATTCTAAATAAATCCCAGACAGTGTCACCAGCAAAGCATCCCCACACCATAACACCTCCTCTTCCATGCTTTACGGGAAATACACATGGGGAGATCATCCGTTCACCGACACCGCGTCTCACAAAGACACAGCGGTTGGAACCAAAAATCTCCAGACCAAAGAACACATTTCCACCGGTCTAATGTCCATTGCTCGTGTTTCTTGGCCAAAGCAAGTCTCTTCTTATTATTGGTGTCCTTTAGTAGTGGTTTCTTTGCAGCAATTCGACCATGAATGCCTGATTCACACAGTCTCCTCTGAACAGTTGATGTTGAGATGTGTCTGTTACTTGAACGCAATTTCTGAGGTTGGTAACTCTAATGAACTTATCCTCTGCAGCAGAGGTAACTCTGGGTCTTCCATTCCTGTGGCGGTCCTCATGAGAGCCAGTTTCATCATAGCGCTTGATGGTTTTTGCGACTGCACTTGAAGAAACTTTCAAAGTTCTTGAATTTTTCCGTATTGACTGACCTTCATGTCTTAAAGCAATGATGGACTGTTGTTTCTCTTTGCTTATTTGGAGCTGTTCTTGCCATAACATGGACTTGGTCTTTTACCAAATAGGGCTATCTTCTGTATACCCCCCTACCTTGTCACAACACAACTGATTGGCTCAAACGCATTAAGAAGGAAAGAAATTCCACAAATTAACTTTTAAGAAGGCACACCTGTTAATTGAAATGCATTCCAGGTGACTATCTCATGAAGCTGGTTGAGATAATGCCAAGAGTGTGCAAAGCTATCATCAAGACAAAGGGTGGCTATTTGAAGAATCTCAAATATAAAATATATTTTGATTTGTTTAACACTTTTTTGGTTACTACATGATTCCATATGTGTTATTTCATAGTTTTGATGTTGTCACTATTATTCTACAATGTAAAAAATAGTAAAAATAAAGAGAAACCCTTGAATGAGTAGGTGTGTCCAAACCTTTGACTGGTATATCCGCGGCAAATAATTAGAAAGATGCATATCTCCTACTGACGTTACAGCATTGATGCGTAAGGTATTTGTTTAATTTCTATTTTTTCCTTTATGATGATAATCGGGACCTGTTAGTGTTAGTTTTGTGACAAATACACAGTGATTTTTATTTTGTGACGAAAAAAACTAAACATATACTGAACATAAATATAAATGCAACATGTAAAGTGTTGGTCCCATGTTACATAAGCTGAAAAAAAATATACCAGAAATGTTCCATACGCACAAAAAGCTTATTTCTCTAAAATGTTGTGCACAAATTTGTATACTTCCATGTTAGTGAGCATTTCTCGTTTGCCAAGATAATCCATCCACTTGACAGGTGTGGCATATCAAGAAGCTGATTAAACAGCATGGCCATTACACAGGTGCACCTTGTGCTGGGGACAATAAAAGGCCACTCTAAAATGTGCAGTTTTGTCACACAACACAATGCCACAGATATGTCAAGTTTTGAGGGAGCGTGCAATTGGCATGCTGACTGCAGAAATATCCACCAGAGCTGTTACCAGATAATTGAATGTTCATTTCTCTACCATAAGCCGTTTTACAGAATTTGGCAGTACGTCCAATCAGCCTCACAACCGCAGACCATGTGTAACCACGCCAGCCCGGGACCTCCACTTCCAGCTTCTTCACCATCAGGATTGTCTGAGACCAGCCACCCAGACAGCTGATGAATCTGAGGAGTATTTCTGTCTGTAAAAAGCCCTTTTATGGGGAAAAACCCATTCTGATTGGCTGGGCCTGGCTCTCCTGTGGGTGGGCCTGGCTCCCAAGTTGGTGGGCCTATGCCCTCTGAGGCCCACCCATGGCTGCAGCCCTTCCCAGTCATGTGAAATCCATAGATTATGGGCTCATTTATTTATTTAAAATTGACTGATTTCCTTATATGAACTGTAACTCAGTAAAATTGTTGAAATTGTTGCATGTTGCATTCATATTTTCGTTCAGTATAGTTTTTTCGTTAGGGATTTTTTCTTAACCTTAACGTCCCAATTTCATTTAAATGTTCACACCCCTACTAGCAACGTACGGAGGAACCAGGCCCGATGTAGACAAGCAAAGGATTGAAATGAACTACATCCACATTTTTGTCATTTAGAGTCAATTAATGGTTGTGTGACGTATTCATTTCATAACGTATAGCATCGTATAACATCACGTGATTAGCATTAACTCAATCTCTCAGTAGGGACATGTGGTAACATAGCTGATGGTTAGTTGATGGTTATGATTATGAGTTGATGGGTGTCATGTAAAAAAGCACAGCGTGAAATATCTCTAAACTATATTGCTACACTACACCATGAAACAAAGATAAATGATAAATGACAAAGAATGATAGTAAAAAGCTTTGGAGCACCTTCAATGACATTTTAGGGAAAAAAGGCAAACTCAGCTAAATCCTTCATTGAATCAGATGGTTAATTCATCACAAAACCCACTGATATTGCCAACTACTTTAATGATTTTTTCATTGGCAAGATTAGCAAACTTAGTCATGACATGCCAGCAACAAACGCTGACATCCAAGTACATCTGACCAAATTATGAAAGACAAGAATTGTAATTTTGAATTCCGTAAAGTGAGTGTGCAAGAGGTGAAAAAAGTATTGCTTTCTATCAACAATGACAAGCCACCGGGGTCTGACAACTTGGATGGAAAATTACTAAGGATAATAGCGGACGATATTGCCACTCCTATTTGCCATATATTCAATGTAAGCCTACTAGAAAGTGTGTGCCCTCAGGCCTGGAGGGAAGCAAAAGTCATTCCGCTACCTAAGAATAGTAAAGCCTCCTTTACTGGCTCAAATAGCCGACCAATCAAGCTGTTACCAACCCTTAGTAAAGTTCTGGAAAAAATTGTGTTTGACCAGATACAATGCTATTTTCTTTCTTTCTTTCATTTTTATTTTATTTTTTACCCCTTTTTCTCCCCAATTTTGTAGTATCCAATTGATAGTTACAGTCTTGTCCCATCACTGCACGGACTCGGGAGAGGCAAAGGTCGAGAGCCGTGCGAAACACAACCCAGCCGTACTGCTTCTTGACACAATGCCCGCTTAACCCGGAAGCCAGCCGCACCAATGTGTCAGAGGAAACACCGTACACCTGGCGACCGTGTCAGCGTGCACTGTGCCCGGCCCGCCACAGGAGTCCCTAGTGCGCGATGGGACAAGAATACCCCTGCCGGCCAAACCCTCCCCTAACCTGGACGACGCTGGGCCAATTGTGCTGGCCCGGTCGCGGCCAGCTGCGACAGAGCCTGGACTCGAACCACTCGGGAGGCGATACAATGCTATTTTACAGTAAACAAATTGACCACAGACATTGAGCACGCTTATAGGGAAGGACATTCAACAAGCAAAGCCCTTACACAAATGTACATTTACATCATTTAGCAGACACTCTTATCCAGAGCGACTTACAAATTGGATGACTGATGATTGGCTGAGAGGAATTGATGATAAAAAGATTGTGGGAGCAGTTGTTAGACTCCAGTGCGGCTTTTGATAGACTTCAGTGCGGCTTTTGACATTATCGATCATAGTCTGCTAATGGAAAAACATATGTGTTATGGCTTTACACCCCCTGCTATATTGTG